ATGAGGCTGGAAGCATAGGAGTTAGTCGTTAGCAGGACTATGAGCTAGGGAGCTGGATGGAATTGCAGTTATGGAGACAGGATTTCATCCCAGAGAAATAAAGCAGACGGATATAGAGCTTGGTATGTCTAGATTTATTCCTGCCTTGAATGCCTGGTGGAACTATAGCTGAATTGATGTAATTTTGTCTTAGAGGAATAAAGTTGACAGTCATAAGAACATAGTGTACATAGATTTTTTTTTCCCCTGATATCCCACACTGAACATAGCAAAGCCCCCTTGAGCCCTAGGGAATCGATAGTAAAGGTGTACTGCATTTGTTTATGCTGCATTTGTCTGACAATGTAAGGATGCGTATTTAATTATGGAAAGATATGTTGTGCTTGTTTCACCTTGCCTGTCAAACACCCATAACTAATAATAAGCCTCTGTGTCATGATTTGGGAGCTGGGTGGTGGCCTAAAAGAAAAAGCCTGGTACATTTGGTGTTCCAACATGGGGCCCAAATTTCCACATGGGGCCTGACAAAGGGAAAAAAAAAGATACAGCTCTTTTAAGAGGCTCTGCCATAAAACAAGTACTTGAGCAGCCAGTAGCTAAGTAAAAAAGCCTACTGCAGCATGGGCACCAGCATCACAGAGCTGGAGTGACTGAATGAAGTTCTGGTCAAAGGCACCTCTGAACCAGGTGCTGCTAGCCTAAGGCTCAGCTCTCACTGACCTGAAAAGGGGGTAGAGCCAGCCTCTGAAGGTGGAGAACCCCGTGGTAACTTAGCAGTTTAAGGTTTTGCTCATGCAGACAGAAAAGGCTAGAGATAAACAGTAAAACAGGTTCAGACAGAAAAAAAAAAAAAACAGGTTATAGTGCATTTAAAAATGTATGTAGGCTTAAGAAAGAAAAGAAAATGGGTATAGACAGTCATAGAAAAAAAGTAAATAGTTTATAAATAATAAAAAATGAATAAGCCACATAGAGATGGGAAATACACAGAGAGTCTGGATCCTGTATGTGGTTGTGTTGTCTTGGAATTTTTTTGAATGCTGATGACCAAACATTAGCTGCTAAGAGACATTGGGTTGAAAAAGGAACTGTTAAATTAAACCAGCCTAGATACTTTAGGAATGCCTTAATTTTAAGATGGAAGTCAAAAATGTATTGCTTTGGGAAAGAGGTTATGCTTTTGTTTTCATAGGAAACGAAAGGCTGTGGATTTATTCAAGGTTGATAAAGATCAGGTTTGATAGTGGAAGACCGCCTGAAAATCTTGGCCACAGATATAATGAAATAAAGCTAGAAAAACTACAAGACAGGTGACATATATTTTACCTGCTCAAACATAAAACAAAAAAAAATATTTTTGGATGGCTTGTGTACAGTATATAGTCTCTGACTGTGTTAATGCAGATATGTATGTTACCTTTGAAAGTTTGTGTGTTTTCAGAGCAAGGAGCCAGACACCAATGAAAACAGGTGGCCCAGGTGATCCAGTCTCTCAGAGTGCCTCTGTTATAGTTTCCTCAGAGTACTGCATCCAGAACAGCTTCAAGGATGCTGGCTGAGATGATACAGCCTCAGACTATTCTAGCCAGGACTGTAGATAAGCCTTGCATTTTCCCATTGCACAGAGACAGGACAACAAATTGTTATAGCTGATTTTTCCAGAACTTAATCACTATCTCAATTTTCTCAGGTCTTCTAAAAAGATGTCTTTGCTCACATTCCCAAGAGGTGGGGTAGGTGGTTTTTTGGTCATTCTGTGGGTTATGGATAGTTGTCATTATTTAGTGGGGATATAGGAATATAGGATAAAAGAACCACTATTAACTTAAAATACTTTACATTGGTATGGGTTTTGGTATATTGATACAAATTTAATGTTATAGTGTATATCTTTCTATTCTTGTTTAAGGTATTGTACTTACGCAGTTTATTTGAAAATGTAATGTATGATTAAGAAATGCAGGTTAATAGTTAGTCATCTATAATAATCAAACTTGTAGCCTTATTAGATATGTTTTTAAGATTAAATGGATATTTTTTAGATAGATAGGTGATCTTCAAATGCTTCAAAGACCTACAGAATATTCAAGATGTTTAACAATCTGAGGCTTTTTCATGAGGCTTTTCAGTGAGACACATCTGCTCCTGGCATCACAAATCTAATTCATAAAAGGATGGTGGGCATTGAAGAATCTTCGTATGGATTTTGCTTTCAATACAACAAAGCTAACCATTTGGGTAAGAAACTGCCCTTGCCTCAACTACTGACAGTATATCATCCAAAATGGACATGCAGGACACAGAAGAAATAGAATGCTGAACTTTGCCAAAACAAGGTGAACAGTCCTTTAAAATTCCTCCTTCGTAGAAAAGTCTGCCAGACATTCTGCAGGATACACAGGAAAGCGGCAGCTGGACTTTGCCAAGACTAAGTTGGACAGTCCTTCAAAATTCCTGCTTCATAGAAGAATCTCCCAGATATTTTAGGCCTATAGGCCAAAGATTGGATGCCCCAACATTGCCAAGGAACCTTGGGTGACTGTTCAGTCAGCCAGATATCTCTATCATTTCTAAAGATTTGGAAATGGCTTGCACCACTCTTCCTGTTTACTCAAAAAATATATCCTTCTGGGGTCTTTGATGGTGTTGAAGACTAGATAGTTATAGTAATAGTTTTCTTTAGTTATGATAGAACATAAATTAGGTACAAAACTTCGGACTCACCAAGACAGGATAAATAATTGAGTTTTTTCTTTGAATTTGCCAAATATAAATGGACTGGACATTGGGAGCATAATTCTTACTTGATAACTGTTCTTATTGTACATAGTCTTACTATGTTAAAGTTAAAACCTTTCTTTTATACAAAAAGGAAGAAATGTTGCAGAATACTCTTTTAACTGAGCAAAGATGTGTTACACTTATTTTATGCTGCGGAATATTACTTTAACTGTGTAAAGGTGTGTTACATTTGTTTATGCTGCATTTGTGTAACATTGTAAGGATGTGTGCTTAATTATGTAAAGATGTGTTGCATTTGTTTCACCTTACCTGCCTAAGGCACCTGATTGGTCTAATTAAAAGCTAAACAGCCAATAGCTAGGCAAGAGAGGGATAGGTAAGGCTGGCAAACAGAGAGAATAAATAGGAGGAGAAATCTAGGCTCAAGAAGAAGAGAAAAGAGAGGAGGAGAAAGAAGAAAATGGGGGAGAAAAATAGGGAGATGCCAGGAGCCATCCAGGCAGCTGCCAGACAGACAGACATAAGAAGTAACATAAGAAGTAGTGACAGTAAGACAGACAGAAAGAAAGTAAGCAAGGTAAAAAGCCCCCAGGCAAAAGGAAGATAAAGAGAAACAGGTTAATTTAAGTTAAAGGAGCTATCCAGAAAAAAGCCTAAGCCAGGCCAAGCATTCATAACTAATAGTAAGCCTCCATCTCATGATTTGGGAGCTGGCTGGTGGCCTAAAAGAAAAGGGCTGGTACATCTATGTATTGCTGCTGGCTTCATTCCTTGCTGAGTGTTTGCTATAAAAAGGGACTTGCATGTGTCCACAATGGTAGAAAATTGGAGTGGTTTTCATTCTGGAAACCAGCTGTGAAGCAATAAAAATGGAAATCTACACAGCATAGGGAAAATGGGAACCCCAAAGACAAGGGATAGAAGTGAAATTTCACAAATATTTTACATCTAAATGTACTGTATTATGTTTCATGGTTTGCAAGACTGAATACCAAATATAAAATTACAATGTCAGAAATAAAGACCTTTATAACCTAGTCAGCAAGTAGAACTTCCAATATTAACTCTCTCAGAATGTTATAATAAATATTATTAAAGGTGCATATAGAATAGGTCACATACAAATGGAAAAGTAAGTATCCTATATTTTTAAGCTATTGCTTATAGACTTCCTAAAAAGTGAAGTAAAATAAGGATATGTCTCAGGAAGAACTGATAACTATAGCCTTTGATTACAGTCTTTGACAGTAACAGCAATAGTTACTATTAAGGAGAATCATGGACACCAATGACTTTTCTTGACAACACCTTCATTTTTAATGTGTAGCTTTTGTGGATCTTAGTAACTGTTTTAAAATCTCTGCATATATGGATCTATTTTCAAACTATTGGCAGTACTGAATTAAACTATTAACAGGCCAGAATTGTTAGAGACTTAATACTGACCTTGTTAGTTTCAAGAGGCTCTGAGTGTAGACGAATTCCTAAACAGTCTTATTAAATAAGAAACACAAAGCCAAATATAGGGGTGACAGCCTTAGAGATCAGGGAAATAGTGAGAGCCACCACTATAGCTTCCCAGGAGAGCTACTTCCAGTCTACCCAGGCTTTTATTGCCTTGCTGTTCTGCCCTCTCATTGGTTCTTAGCCCAGCTACCTCATTTCCTTGTCACTGCCTGTCTGTATAGACCTCCAGGTCTCTATGGTTGGTACTGGGATTAAGGCACACTTGGCTGTTCCCTAGTGTGTCCTTGAACACACAAAGACCCTGCTTGCCAAGTGATCAGATTAAAGGCATGTGCTACTACTACCTGACTTTTGTGTTAATGGCTTGCTATTACCTCTGATCTCCAGGCAAACTTTATTTATTAACACACAAATATAGTATCACCACATTTCAGCACAAATAAAATATCACCACATCTGAGAGATGCTTCTCTATCTAATTTATTGAGCAAATATTTATTTAAAATCTATTATGTGTGGGCAAGAGGCTAACAGAGTTTCCAGTTCCAAAGAGCTTATTGTCATATGTGATAGCTACAGCATGATGAATCAGTGGCTGGTTAGATTTGTGATGATTTCACTCTGGGAATATCCAGGCCTCACAGCATTTGGACAAAAGTATTGGAATTTCACTTCACCCTATGGTGACTTGGAATCGAATCTTTTCTTACTGTGTGTGAAAGCTGAGAGAGCCACTTACCTCCCTGGTCTTCTGAGTTCCTCTACTGAGACACAGCAATAAGAGTTCTTACCTTATAGGATTGTGGGAATGGGTTGCGTTTTCCCAGTTAAAGCAGTTGTTCTGCAAGTGATCCTCACTGTTGATGGGAGAAGAACCAGCTGTGCTACAGGACAGCAGAGGAGCAGGCAGAGGAGCGGGGGCCTCTGAAGACTGGGTGGGATTTTACCTAGTGACAAAGAGAAGGGAATGTATGTTAGATAAAAAGAACAGCAAATAAAAAGAGCTTTGAAAGGGGGTATTTATTGAGGAAAAGAATTTGTATTTTTTTAATGAGATACTAATTTAGCCAGGGGTCAGAAAAGAAGGTAAGAAATTGGACAGGGTTATGAAAATTTTAATTGGAACGCGCTGTTCACTCAGTGCCAGCTGGGACTCCTGTTTGTCAGAGTAAGGAAACACTGGTGCCTGGAAACATTTCCAAGCTCACACACAAGCACACAGACTTCATTGGTGTAGGGAAAACACAAAAACAACTCTGTTCCATTAGGGTAGAATAACCTTCAGGCAAGGGGGATTGTTTCTTTTGAAATAATGAAAACCTCCCTCTTCAGTCTCAACATCAACATTTCCTTTTTTCCTTTTTTCTCAGAAATGCTATCACTGTTGGCAAGGGGTAAGAAATGCAGACAAGCTCTCTTCTGTGTGATTGAGGGAGCAGTGTAGACAGGTGATTTTGTGCATATTCATTTGTATAATTAATTTCTCAAAAATTCTACAATTCATTTCAAATGCAACTATATGTCAATGGTCTGAAAAATGCAGGAGTCAAAATAGACAAGGTGAAGTCATTAGGACTTCTATTCATTTTCAAAATTGAAATGTCCCAATTGAGCATGGCCAGTCTGCACAAAGACACAAGGGTTAAAAATATTCAAGATATGAGGATTCTTAGCCATGATGAATAAGGCATCAAAACCCCTCACAGGTGTGAATTTCTCATGGAAGATAAGAGTGGTGACATGGTATCTTTATTTGCTGGTGACTGAACCAGGTACCCTCATGCACAGACATGGACATATTAAGGTTAACTTCTGGCTGTTTTAAGTGAGCTCAGTCAAGGCATCCCAAGGCATTGGCAATTGTTTCTGAAGACTACTTACAACAGAATCAGCTATACTGTTCTACCTCAGATTTACTGAGTTAAACATCTGTAGGACAGCTGCTTCACATCTGAGTTTTTGACAAACTTTCTTTCATAATTTACATGGACAGGAAATTTCGATGAAGGGACACTTACTATTGTCTTATCTTCTGTTTAGTGAGAAAAGTGATAGGATATGAGACACAATTCTTGTCCTCAATAAGCTCACAGGAGTGGGCAGATGAAAACCAGGGAGATGAGATGTAACACAGTATTGATTTCCTGGTGTAAACAAGACATGCGCTGAGTTCTTTCTATGCAAACCACATCTGTATAACATCATAATTACTTTGTAAAACAGGTATTCTGAATTGAGTCTGGTTGTACTAAAGGAGATAAAAGTAGTTCATGAAGGTTGGATGAATTCCGAGAGGGAAGTGATAGAAACAGTCTGGGAACACTTTGCTCACACTCTGAGCAGCAGCAGTTGTGAGAAATGTGCATTCCCAGGACTTTTCCCCCCTGGAGAAGGAGAGAGCTCATCACACCAAGTTTTTAGGATGTTATTAGGCATTTCATTGAAAAGTAAAGAATGGTGAGAATTCACACAAGGAAACGGCACTAAAAACTATAGGAAGATGAGCCCAAGCAAACTTTCTGAGTTCTAATTTGAGCCCCCAAATGAGATAAGAGTTCTATGGGTTCACTGCTCCCCATTTGGAGAGCTTTCTGGGTCTCTCATCCTCCACAAAAGGCAAGTGAAGGACCCTTCCATTGCCTGTCCTTTCATATCGTCACATGTTTGAACTGGCTGCCAACATGGGTTACCAGTGTCGTCATATTTACCTATACTGTAGTATCTGTTTCATAAAACGTCTCTCACTACCAAAACCTACCTAAGAAAATAACTTGTGTGTGCATGTGTGCATGCATGTATGCATGTGTGCGTGTGTATGTATGTGTGCATGTGTGCATGCATGTATGCATGTGTGCGTGTGTATGTATGTGTGCATGTGTGCATGCGTGCATGCATGTGTGTGTGTGTTCAAGAGTCCAATATACTTCAACTCTCCGCCTTCAACTCCCTCTAAAATATTTCTGAAAGCACAGCCGGGAAAGTGCTCTGTAGACAAACTCAGGTCTTACCTTTTCTCTGCTCAAAATCATTTAATGATCTCACATTTCACTCAAGTTTAGACCATAGTCTTTGAGACAGCACACAAGGTCCAAATAATCTGCTCCCTCATCAGTCATTGCCCCACAATGATACCTCTCTAACTCCATCTGCTTCAACTTCCCTTTGCTGTCTCTTGTCCAGCCATGACTGGCTTGACAACTTTAACATAACAAGCAGGCTTCTAAGTGAGGGCCTTTGCAGCAACCTTTCACGCTGCACGGCATTTTCTCCAAATATGACTGCAATTCACCCTCTCCCTTCCTTTGTTTCTACCACCAGCTCATAAGGACTTCTCCTTGGGGTCTTCTCTATCCCCATCACCTAAGATTGTGGCCTGTCCATTACTGCCTCCTCTCCTCTGTTATTTCTCTTCCACAGCAAGTTACGGTCTGTTCATCTCAGTTTCCACATCTTCCATCTTAGTCATCCATAAAAACCTCACCTAAATGATGGCAGCTCCTGACACTCTCCTTTTTTTGCAATCTCCCAAGCTCGAGTATGCACTCTATCATGTTATTACATTTGGTAATGATGCTGGCTTGCTTTAAGTTTAAGCAACAATGTTTTTTTTACCTATTATACTTCTGTTTTTCCTTGTTGCTGTTATTCCATTGCCAATAAATCTATACACTCCATGAAGCAAGTTGTTCTTCTATTTTTTGGTTGATTGATTTTTGAAGCAGGGTCTTCTCATCATTAGTCTAACTAGCCCTGGTTAGTCTGAAACTCTCTATGTTGACCAGGCTGGCCTTGAACTCACAGAGAGTAATCAGTTTCTGCCTGGGATTAAAGGTATACACCAACATACCTGGCTTAAAGCCATAGTTCTGCTGTAACAGCTCTCTCGGTTCCAAAGACAAAGCCTGTTTTTATTTCAATAAACAATTTAAGGACTGAACAATAGTACTGATCACCCGGAAAGAATTATTAACAAGTGCCAGGACAACAAGCCTGTAGCCAGCATGGTATCATCACCATCCTGCAGATGAGATTCGGGTAGCTCACACATGATCCGAAGCCTGTCTCAGATGGAGAGTGAGAATGAAATGGAGCCCAATAAACTCCAGAGTCCACAATCTATTCCTCTATCACTGTCCCCAACTAATTACTTCCATTCATTAAACACCTACTATGGGCCCAGGTATGTAAGGCACTTCCCAGCTTAATTCACACTCAGAACAACACTGTGGGCTGTAGTGGGTAGCCATTCCAGCTTTGACCTGGAAGTTCCAACCACTATTGAGGCTTCAGTAACTATCACGCCTACAAGGCAGGCCAAGAGAGGACCCTGAAGACCTGAGATCCAGATGCGCTGCTCTCTCTGTTCCTGGACCCTGGATGGTGGAGGTTGACAGAGTAGAGTTCTCCAGAGAACACCACCGGACTGCGCCACACCTTCCCCAGACACTGCAACTTACCTATCCCTTCATTTGTAAATTATGCCACTAATAAACCTCCCTTTTAACTACATGGAGTGACCTTAATAATTTCACCAGTACTGGGCAAAGTAATATCAATGTTGCTTTATCAATGAGAAAACCACAGCTCTAGGGGTTCAACCACTTGACTCAGACCCAGCAAGGGGAGCAGCGACTTCTCAACTCAGCTACACAATTACACTCCTGTGTATGCGCTGTTGAGCAGCACAAAGACGTGTTTAAATGACATGTTAGGCTCTGGGGTGTCTGAACTTTTGTCAGAGGTCACATAGCCCTTATTCAGTGAACTTGTAATCACAAAGGCTGCTTCATTTAGGGTCAATGACTCCCTACTGCCTGTCATGGACTCGTATTAAACCTCAACACCAGGAAAAAGCAAGTGACAGGTAACAACAACCAAAGGAATTTTTAAAATCCCCTTTGGTTATGACAGGGTTCATTTTACACTCACATGTGTTTTCATGTTCATGTGTAAAAAGGACAAAGACAAAGATTATAAAAAAGAGGAAGATGGCTAAAGAGGTGACTCTTTCTCTGTGCCTTTATTACCTATAGATTTTTAAAAATACAGCGGCTGGACATTCCTTGGCTCAGAGTGTCCCCCAAGTGGCATGGCTAACCTCACAGAAGCTTCCTGAAGCCTGTTTTTTGTTGTTGTTGTTGTTTCTTTGTTTTTGTTTGTTTGTTTGTTTTCCAGACAGAGCTTCTCTGTGTAGCTTTGGAGCCTTTCCTGGCCCTCTCTCTGTAGCCCAGGCTGGCCTCGAACTCACAGAGATCCACCTGCCTCTGCCTCCCAAGTGCTGAGATTAAAGGCATGTGCCACCACCACCCAGCTGAAGCCTGATTTTAAAAATAGTTGTTAAGTATTCTTTGAAAATGTCATAATAAATGATAAAAAAATCATACATATACATGCATGTATATTTATTTTTTGAAAACGTCATACATATACATGAATGGAAATAACCAAATCCCTTTCCCACACTCCTTCCAAATCCCACCATTACTCCACATTACATCTCCCTCCCAGCTTCATGCCCTCTTTTTATAATTTTTATTTACTTATTTTTTTTACTCACTGTGTCTAATTATTGTTGCCCATATGTGCAAGGGTATGGGGCTATCCTGAGATCTGGGGAACCTATCAATGGTCACAGTCCAAAAGAAAAAATGACCATCTTTACAGTTCAGCACTCACGGTCAATTATTTTTAGCACTTTGAATGGTAATATGTCTCTGCATTAACCGCTACCCACTGCAGTAAGAAACTTCTCTGACCAAGGATAGTCAAGCACAAATCTATGGCTATAAACATGAATATTTAGAAAAAGGCAGTATGACAAGAAAACCACTTAGAAAAGCATCAATAGTTTCTCCCCTAGAATCTGAGTCCCCTAGCCATGGATTTGAACACGAGTTCCTTCCTGTAGAGCTGGTCTCAAATCAATTCAAGAGAGTGGTTGTTTGCC